AACAAATATAGTATGGATGGGATACTGATATTATACACTGTTGTATCTCAAGAGCTCTGGACTGAGTGAAACGCGGGATCGGTAATGGGTGTAACAAATATAGTATGGATGGGATACTGATATTATACACTGTTGTATCTCAAGAGCTCTGGACTGAGTGAAACGCGGGATCGGTAATGGGTGTAACAAATATAGTATGGATGGGATACTGATATTATACACTGTTGTATCTCAAGAGCTCTGGATTGAGTGAAACGCGCGATCGGTAATGGGTGTGACAAATGTAGTATGGATGGGATACTGATATTATACACTGTTGTATCTGAAGAGCTCTGGATTGAGTGGAACGCGGGATCGGTAATGGGTGTGACAAATATAGTATGGATGGGATACTGATATTATACACTATTGTAATTCTTGAAAAACTCTAAGAGACAAATATAGAATTTTTAAAAATATGCTAGGTCTAATACTAATGTCTTATGAAAATGATAACTGATTATATAGAAAGCTCTTATAAAGTTAGAACAACATACATATTGCTTATATCAATAGAGATAACCAAAATATTGTTTCTAGGTTTAGACAAATATAGGAATTTACTCATGTCGACAAGGCAGTGAAACTTATTGTTTATAAACGTAAAACAACACTGAGGAAACTACAGATAAAAATACAATCATCTATAAGTTAAAGAAAGGAAAAGCATAACCGATACACTTTACAAGACTTACATTATATTACATTACAAGCTCGACAACTCACTGGCATATTTCACAAACGAGGTCTCTCCTTTCACATGCTGCCTCCCGAACTAAGAGCTTATAATCGGGTTTCGATACCAGCGGTGGGTACAACACAGATAGCCCATTATGTAGCTTCTATTACTTACGGGTTAAGAAGTTTTCATCGTCAGTTTGGTGGGATGTTTCAAGACATTATTTTTATTACTTACTGGTTTAGAAGTTTTCATCGTCAGTTTGGTGGGATGTTTCAAGACATTATTTTTATTACTTACCGGTTTAGAAGTTTTCATCGTCAGTTTGGTGGGATGTTCCAAGACATTATTTTTATTACTTACGAGTTTAGAAGTTTCATCGTCAGTTTTGTGGGAAGTTCCACAACATTATTTCTATTACTTACGGGTTTATAAGTTTTCATTGTCAGTTTTGTGGGAAATTCCACAACATTATTTCTATTACTTACGGGTTTATAAGTTTTCATCGTCAATTTTGTGGGAAGTTCCAAGACATTATTTCTATTACTTACGGGTTTAGAAGTTTTCATCGTCAGTTTTGTGGGAAGTTCCAAGACATTATTTCTATTACTTACGGGTTTAGAAGTTTTCATCGTCAGTTTTGTGGGAAGTTCCACAGCATTCTTTTTATTACTTACGGGTTTAGAAGTTTTCACAGAATTTAAAAAAAGATCAATTTCTTTGGTATTTTATAGAAGTAATAAAAACCACTTTTGTTCAGTAACCGCCATTAGTGCTACTTACCTTAGTTTAAACTAAACACAGTTATTACCAACTGTTTAGTATATGGTATAACATTACGTCATTAATTTTCCAAGTCCTATTATTACTGTCAAGCTTTCTGGAGTTTTATTGATTATGCTTTTCGGCTGTGAAAGGGTACAGTTAAATTTGGATTAGTTGTGTTAGACTTATCTCATAGTACGTTTAACATGTTGTTATTGTTTTTATTACATTATCATTATTCTAACTATTTATTGTATTATTTAATTTATTTTATTGAATATTTTGTACTGTCATATCCATTATTTGTTACTCTTGTTGTACTCTAGGTAATGTCCTGCTACTTCACCCTACCCAGTAACATGAGTAGCGGCATTATCATTCTGATTCTTGAAAACCCCTAGCGGGCAAATATAGAATGGAGTGTTTAAAAATATAATAACCGTAATAGTCATGTCTTATGATAACAATAATGAATTATATGACTTTGAATTTTTCATAAAGAGTAAAAAGTACATCAGAATGTATTTTTGGATTGCTTTTTTACTTCTAGTTTTACTTTTAGCCAAAACCCATTTCCCTTTCATTAAAACGGTAAATTGGTTTGGTTTGTTTTGAATTTCGCGCAAAGCTACACGAGGGTTATCTGCACAAGCCGTCCGTAATTGAAATGTTAGAGGGAAGGCAGCTAGTCATCACCACCCAGAGCCAACTCCTGGGCTACATTTTTTACTAACGAATAGTGAGATTGACCGTCACTTTATAACACCCCCGCGGCTGAAAGGACGAGTATTTACGGTGGGACGGGGATTCAATCCTCAGTTTGCGAGTCAAGCGCCCTTTACCACCAGAGACGATAAATAAATATAAGTAAACAATTCGCAAATTTCTCAGTCAAATGTTACATATCTCATATCGCTAAAAAGGCCTTTACCCGAAGAGTCTGAATTGGCGTTTCAATCAACTTAACTGATTTTTGCTTAGTGAAACTTTTCAATATAACGAGTATGGTACATAAGTAATTATCATCACGTGATTCGATTTCAACTTTATTTTGTTTTTCCTTTATTTCCAAAGTATTTAACATAAACAACAATTAATCCGCTTGCAATTTCGTAAAGAAAATGAACACTAAACTAAATACAATTTCCATGGGCTCTCTGGAGTTATTTAGCTCTAAAATACGCATGCGCAGTTCGTTCAAAACCACTTCACTTTGTGAACACGCATTCAGACGTTTCTGCATATTCAGCTACGTTTACCTTCATTACAACTTTACATTTACTTTACTTTGCAATAATTTAGCTTCTGTTCCTTTCATAGACTGCTAGATGCACCTTTTAGCTACGTATTTTTATTCGTTACGGTTTTATTCTTCGTTTTCATGAGTTTCTCTGTTTCAACTGGTAAAACCGTGTCATACACTGAACGTTTATAACTGTTTTATACTCTGTACACTATCATAAGTACCATTACTATAATTTATTGTTTACTTTGCGTGTAGTTTTAGTAAATAAAGCTACGTCTACGTGAGTTTGTTTGTCTAATCGCGTAATTTAGTTTTCAAATAGACCAGGATTTATCGATCTAATACACAATGCCTACAAGAAAGGATAGCTTAAATAGCGTGCGTGAAAATAATATAATAAGAAATATTAAAGCGAAAGGCATTAAAACTACCATTAATATATTACTGGATGTGTTATTATTGTTAATGTCTGAGATAGATATTTTAATATTTACCAGCTATGATTAAACTGAAGGAACTTTTGAAGCAAGATACAGATAAACCAGTGAAAGTTTCCGTACATCAACTAACACGAGGAATGAGCTACAGGAAACTTGTTAAAGATATCAGCCAACAGGGGGCGACAAATATCATTCTTGACATATCAACACGGAAGATTAAGGACTTCTTAAAACAGGTTCGTGTATATCTTCAAAGTTCACTTGAACTGACTGAACTCTATATCTCTTCGTCGTAAGCTGAAAATTATATCATTTTTTGTATATATCTCAATAATCAGCTGGAAAAGATATCATTTTATGTATCTTTTACGAATTAGCTAGATGTGACATAATTTTATGCATATCTTATGAATTAACAGGAAATTATATCATTTTATTTGTGTTTTATGATTTAGTTGGAAATGATTCTACTGTGTGCACCTCAAAAATGTTAGCTGTCTGTGATATCACTTGGTGTACCTCTTTAAAATGTTAACTGGCAGTGATATCACTTGGTTTTTTTCTGTAAAACGTTAGCTGGCAGTGATATCACTTGATGTATGTTAGCCACACTCAAGTAACGCTGATGAAACTAGCTTCACGATAAGTTTCGTAACCACAAACAAATAACGCTGGTGAAACTAACTTCAGGGTGAGTTTCTTAACCACAGTCAAGTAACGCTGATGAAACTAGCTTCACGATAAGTTTCGTAACCACAGTCAAGTAACGCTGGTGAAACTAACTTCAGGGTAAGTTTCGTAACCACAGTCAAGTAACGCTGGTGAAACTAACTTCAGGGTAAGTTTCGTAACCACAGTCAAGTAACGCTGGTGAAACTAACTTCAGGGTAAGTTTCTTAACCATAGTCAAATAACGCTGGTGAAACTAACTTCAGGGTAAGTTTCTTAACCACAGTCAAATAACGCTGGTGAAAAATGTCAATGAAATCTCTAGAAGCACAGACAAGAAATAGAAATTAAATCTCAAGAAACGACGATGTTTACGAGCTAATTTTTGTTTCTCACTACTATTGTTGTTCACAGCTAGTGAGCACTCATTATAATATTAAAACTTACATAAAATCCTTGCTTCGTCAAACTTTCCACAGTCGCTGAGATGATAAAATACTTATGTGATTTTTGTTCTTCCGGTCTCGAAAAAAAAATTACTTGTAATCTCATTAAAAGATATTTTATTTTATAACTTCACGTGCATATTAAATTTTACAAGGTCTATCCTTAAACTAACGTTTGACGTCACTACGGGCTTTATATTCATGATTAAATCCTATATATTCAATTTTGAAAATATTAATTTCTAACTTTCAGAAAGATGAATATATGTTAATCAATACCGAAACTAGCCTCCAGCAGCTGTCTTCCATCAAATTTCTAACCAGTGAACCATTTATTACTAGACTTCCAAATTAATTGACAATATCTGTGACATATCATTTTGTTACATTACAGGCTCGAGAAATTGGAATGATGACTGAATACCATAATTACTTGATAACGTCATTGGTAAGTTTTTGTATTTATATTTGCTTAGATAGAGTGATCTGGACTTGTTTATTCCAGCTTTTACAGACAATCGATATTTGGTTTCATTACGATATAATTTTTTATTCGAAATTAATTCTACATATTTACAAATACAAAGCAACTTATTCGTTAATCATTTAGAATTAAATATTATCTGTTTACACTTCCAACAGATGAAGTGTTTGTGTACGAGTTTAGAGTCATGCGAATCCACAAAATATTTTTCTCATTTTAAGGAGACACTGCGATAAATCTGAAAGCTGTTAATGGTTAAAACCGGGTTTCGATACCTGTAATGGGCACAACACAGATAGCCCATTGTGTAGTTTTGGGCTTAAATAGAAACAAACAAATTCACTTCGAGTTCTATATGTGTGCATATAAGAGTGACATTCAATTATTTAGCATGTAAGGTGGGTGTTAGGTGCTGCTCACTGGATGGTGGGTGTTAGGTGCTGTTAATTGGATGGTAGGTGTTTGTTGCTGCTAGCTGGATGGTGGGTGTTAAGTGCTGTTAACTGTAAGGTGGGTGTTAGGTGATGCTAGCTGGATGGGGGTGTTAGGTGCTGTTAATTGGATGGTAGGTGTTAGGTGATGCTAGCTGGATGGTGGGTGTTAAGTGCTGTTAATTGTAAGGTGGGTGTTAGGTGATGCTAGCTGGATGGGGTGTTAAGTGCTGTTAACTGTAAGGTGGGTGTTAGGTGCTGCTCACTGGATGGTGGGTGTTAGGTGCTGTTAATTGGATGGTAGGTGTTAGTTTCTGCTAGCTGAATGGTGAGTGTTAAGTGCTGTTAACTGTAAGGTGGGTGTTAGGTGATGCTAGCTGGATGGGGGTGTTAGGTGCTGTTAACTGGATGCCTCTCCTGAGATCAAAATTAAGGACTGCGGTAGATAGCCATGTAGATTTACCGTAAATACAAAATACAAATATAAGTTATAGCAGGTTTACCACAAATACAAAATACAAATACAAGTTATAGTACCTTAATCGTAAATATAAGAACAAAGTACAAGCCCTACTGTCTTTACCATAAATACAAAATACAAATACAAGCTTAGTAGCTTTACTATAAATACAAAATACAAATACAAGCTTTAGTAGCTTTGTTATAAATACAAATACAAGCTTTGGTAGCTTTGTCATAAATACAAATACAAGCTTAGTAGTTTTGTCATAAATACGAATACAAGCCTTAGTAGCTTTGTCATAAATACAAATACAAGCCTTAGTGGCTTTTTCATAAATACAAAATACGAATAGAAGCCTTAGTGGCTTTGTCATTAATACAAATACAAGCCTTAGAGGCTTTGTCATAAATACAAATACAAGCCTTAGTGGCTTTGCCATGAATACAAAATACGAATAATAGCGTTAGTAGCTTTGTCATAAATACAAGCCTTAGTGGCTTTGTCATAAATACAAAATACGAATACTAGCGTTAGTAGCTTTGTCATAAATACAAGCCTTAGTGGCTTTGTCATAAATACAAATACAAGCCTTAGTGGCTTTGTCATAAATACAAATACAAGCCTTAGTGGCTATGTCAAAATACAAATACAAGCTTTAGTGGCTTTGTCATAAATACCAATACAAGCCTTGGTAGCTTTGTCATAAATACAAATACAAGCCTTGGTAGCTTTGTCATAAATACAAATACAAGCTTTGGTAACTTTGTTATAAATACAAATACAAGCTTTAGTGGTTTGTCATAAATACAAATACAAGCCTTAGTGGCTCTGTAATAAATACAATATAAAAACACAAGCTTTAGTAGTTTTCTCATAAATATAAAATACAAATACAAGCTTTAGTAGCTTTACATTAAGTACAAAATATAAGAATTAATAGCTTTGTCATAACTACAAGATACAAATACAAGCTTTAGTAGCTTTACCATAAGTACAAAATACAAGAATTAATAGATTTGTTCATAACTACAAGATGCAAACACAAGCTTTAGTAGCTTTACCATAAGTACAAAATACAAGCATTAATAGCTTTGTTCATAACTACAAGATACAAATACAAGCTTTAGTAGCATTAGATTAAGTACAAAATACAAGAATAAATAGCTTTGTCATAACTACAAGATACAAATACAAGCTTCAGTAGCTTTACCATTAGTACAAAATACAAGCATTAATAGCTTTGTTCATAACTACAAGATACAAATACAAGCTTTAGTAGCTTTACCATAAGTACAAATACAAGAATAAATAACTTTGTTCACAACTACAAGATACAAATACAAGCTTTAGTAGCTTTACCATCAGTACAAAATACAAGAATAAATAACTTTGTTCACAACTACAAGATACAAATACAAGCTTTAGTAGCTTTACCATCAGTACAAAATACAAGAATAAATAACTTTGTTCATAACTACAAGATACAAATGCAAGCTTTAGTAGCTTTACCATAAGTACAAAATACAAGAATAAATAGATTTGTTCATAACTACAAGATACAAATACAAGCTTTAGTAGCTTTACCATTAGTACAAAATACAAGCATTAATAGCTTTGTTCATAACTACAAGATACATATACAAGCTTTAGTAGCTTTACCATAAGTACAAAATACAAGAATAAATAGCTTTGTCATAACTACAAGATACAAATACAAGCTTTAGTAGCTTTACCATAAGTACAAAATACAAGAATTAATTGATTTGTCATAACTACAAAATACAAATACAAGCTTTAGTAGCTTTACCATAAGTACAAAATACAAGAATAAATAGATTTGTTCATAACTAGAAGATACATATACAAGCTTTAGTAGCTTTACTATCAGTACAAAATACAAGAATAAATAACTTTGTTCACAACTACAAGATACAAATACAAGCTTCAGTAGCTTTACCATCAGTACAAAATAAAAGAATTAATAGCTTTGTTCATAACTACGAGATACATATACAAGCTTTAGTAGCTTTACATTAAGTACAAAATACAAGAAGTAATAGCTTTATTCATAACTACAAGATACAAATACAAGCTTGAGTAGCTTTACCATAAGTACAAAATACAAGAATAAATAACTTTGTTCACAACTACAAGATACAAATACAAGCTTTAGTAGCTTTACCATAAGTAGAAAATACAAGAACTATTAGCTTTGTTCATAACTACAAGATACAAATACAAGCTTTAGTAGCTTTACCATATGTACAAAATACAAGAATTAATAGATTTGTTCGTAACTACAAGATATAAATACAAGCTTTAGTAGCTTTACCATTAGTACAAAATACAAGAATTAATAGCTTTGTCATAACTACAAGATACAAATAAAAGCGTTAGTAGCTTTACCATAAGTACAAAATACAAGAATTAATAGTTTTGTTCATAACTACAAGATACAAATACAAGCTTTAGTAGCTTTACCATAAGTACAAAATACAAGCATTAATAGCTTTGTTCATAACTACAAGATACAAATGCAAGCTTTAGTAGCTTTACCATAAGTACAAAATACAAGAATAAATAGATTTGTTCATAACTACAAGATACAAATACAAGCTTTAGTAGCTTTACCATTAGTACAAAATACAAGCATTAATAGCTTTGTTCATAACTACAAGATACAAATGCAAGCTTTAGTAGCTTTACCATAAGTACAAAACACAAGAATTAATAGCTTTGTTCATAACTAGAAGATACATATACAAGCTTTAGTAGCTTTACCATAAGTACAAAATACAAGAATTAATAGCTTTTTAATAACTACAAGATACAAATACAAGCTTTAGTAGCTTTGCACTAAGTACAAAACACAAGAAGTATTAGCTTTGTTCATTACTACAAGATACAAATACAAGCTTTAGTAGCTTTACCATAAGTACAAAATGCAATAATTAATAGATTTGTTCATAACTACAAGAAACAAATACAAGCTTTAGTAGCTTTACCGTAAGTACAAAATACAAATACAAGTCTTTGTATCTTTGTAATACATACAAAAAAACGATACACGCCTTAATAGCGTTGTCATAAACACAAAATATGAATATAAATTACACTAGGTTTTCCATAAATACAAGATAAAAATACAATCTTTTTATCTTTGTCCTAACTACAAATACAAGCCTTAGTGGCGTTGCCATAAATACCAAATACGAATAGAAGCTCTAGTATCTTTGCTATAAATACAAAGTACAAATGCAAGCTTTACTAGCTTTGACATAAATATAAGTTACAAATACAAGCTTTTGTAGCTTTGACATAAATATAAGTTACAAATACAAGCTTTTGTAGCTTTGCCATAAAACAAGATTACAAACACAAGCCTTAGTTGCGTTACCATAAATACAAAATACAAATACAAGCCTTAGTAGTTTTTGCCATGAATATAAAATACAAGCATCAATAGCTTTGTCACAATTACAAGACAGAATAAAATTAATAGCTTTATCACAATTACAGGATAGAATACAAGTATTAGCCTTGCCATAAAAACAAAATACAAATACAAGTCTCAGAAGTTTTGCCATAAATAAATGTGATTGTTCGAAGTTAAGCATAAAACTACAATGGGTTATCTGTGCTTTGCCCACCACGGTATCGAAACCCGGTTTCTAGTGTTGTAAATCTGCAGACATACTGCTGAGCCACTGGGGGGGGGGGATGCCATAAATACTAATACAAGCATTAATAGAATTGCCATAAATACAAGCCTTAGTAGCTTTGCCATAACTACAAATATAAGTCTTAGTAACTTTGCAATGAACACATAATTGAAATACATGCTCTAACAGCTTTCTCATAAATATAAAATTAAATTACAAGCTTTAGTAGTTTTATCGTATATATCAAAATAACTAATATAAGCCAAGTAATAGTAATGAACATAAATAGTCTAGTGATAATAGTAATGAACATAAATAGTCTGGTGGTAATAATAATGAACATAAATAGTCTAGTGATAATAGTAATGAACATAAATAGTCTAGCGGTACTAGTAATGAACATAAATA